GGACTTGTTTTTAGTAAATCTTCTTTCAGATGTGAAGTGTGAAGCTATAATGAAAACATGTTCTCTGTAATTAAAAGATAGTCAGTGTACAATTGATCTCTGAAATTGGGATTTAAATACTCAGGAGACTTGCCTATTTTTGCTTACTGTCTACTTGACTAGTGAGTATGTGTGTCATTATTTATAGCTGCTCTAAAATCCTTTCACTTGAATGATAAAGTATGTTTTTAGAAGATGTAGGTTTTGCTTATTATATATTTTTGTCAGAAATATGTACCTTTTTTCCATAAAGTTATTCTAATATATCTCTTTATTCACTATGTTGTCATTTGATTATGGATGGAACAAAAACAAGAGTTTGTAGGTAATTCAGTTGATGATATGACTGATAATCCAAGGGGATAAATAATTACCTGTCCAGCACAATTTCTGAGGTGTTGGATATGGAAAGTAGGAATGCCTTTTGGTAACTTAAAAAAAAAAAAAAAAAAAAAACAATTACTATAGGCTTGATATAAGGAAGGTTTGTCCAGATTAAACCTCTCCCTTTGTTCTATACACAAGTTATGCAACCATGTACTTAGGTGTGAAATTCAATACTAATTATCGTTAGCAAAGAAAATGCTGGTGGAGACTGTCTTTGGAAGATTGTAGCTCTTCAAATGAACATGATGTAATCCTCTATGTCTAGTGTAATTTAAAGGTTTTGATCTGTGGAACACAAAAAGACATGAGAGAAATTTAATCAGAGTGAAAGAAAATATATAGAAAACCCAACACAGATACAAACTTAGGTGACTCTGAAGAGCAAAACTAAAATGAAAAAATGTAGTCAGGTGTTGCTTAATGACAGAAAGTGTTCTGAGAAGGGCACCATTTGGTGGTTTCATCATTGTTTAAACGTTATTTATCTTACACCAGCCTAGATGGGCAGCCTACTCACTATACACTTAGGCTATGTGGCACAAGTATATATAGTATTGCCTGTTGCCACTAGAGACATGATGAACAAAATCCACAAGATTAAATCTAACAAAGAGAAAATAATGTTACCAAGAGATGTGGTAAACAGAAGATGTTTGAAACTACTCCTTATACAATAAGATGTGTTGTTTTGTGTAAGGGTTTCTTTTTTTTCTTTCTTTTGTTGTTAGGAAGTAGAAGAACATGTAGGTTTTGATAGTTAATTATGGTACTCAGCTCAAAATAACAATAAAAATTATAGCAGATACATAAACTAGTAGCATATTGATTTATTTTGAAGTATTATTACTATACATAATTTTGTGTGCTATACTTGTATACAAGTGGCAATACAAAAAGTTTGTTTACACCAGCATGTACCACAAGCATGAGTAATGCTTTGCACTGTGATTTAGACCTCTATGGTATTACTAGGTGTGAGGGCTTTTTCAGTTATATTATAAATCTTAGGGGATCACCATCATGGATGTGGTCCATAATTGACTGAAACCTTATGAGTGGCCATGTTTTGGCTCACCTGTTCTTTTAGATTCATTAGAGCAGCTTGTAATGGTAATAGTAAAATGGGCTCCTCAAAACATAATTAGCCACTGCTGAAATTTTATTACTGACTTAATGACTATCAGAGCTGTTTTGTTTTCTGCAAATGGTTGGTGATTGAAATGATTTTAGTGTGGCATGAGATTGTAAGTGGATCATTAGGACTGAGGTGGGTGGTTACATTACAGTAAAAGCTGTGAACAAATATTAAGTTTTTTCTCTTAATAATCTGACATATCCCCAATGCACTAAGCATTAGAGTACCCTATTTGAAAGACATTGATCCAGATAACAATTTTAAAATGCAGTAAAAAAAAACAAACAAAAAACCACGAGTATTCTTTGGAAGCATAAGGAGTAACCAAAGCCAGACATAAACACAAAGAGTATCTACCTTTTAAAGATGAAGAGCAAAGGTGAGATTTTTAAGTTGGTAACCTTTTGCTTGAAAGTACTTTCCAGATTGTTTTGAGTGTAGGCATACTGATGAAGTATAAGAGGACAGTGTTTGGCGCTTGTGTGATAGGAAGTTAGGAAAGAAATTCTGGAAAAGTGAACGTCACAGAGGTAAGCTCATTGTTGTTCCAATCTCCATACAAAATCTTCCCAAATCCTGACAGAATATGGAACTTTACAAAACTAAATGTTCCATCAGATGGAAAAGCAGCAGCTAGAAACTTCAAAAACTGAGAATTCTACACTGCACTGTTTTTATTTTAGCCAGTAGCCACTTACTAGAATGAATCATCTTAGGAATGCAACAGAATTTACAGTCTGTATAACATACCATTTGGTAGGTCTAGTATTCTGATAAAAAACAATCCCTAGCTATGTGAAAAACAATTATGACACAAAGTCAATGAAAAGAAAGCAGTCAGAAACTCTGAGATGACTGACCCACATGTCACAACCATTAGAAAACTGCTTTAAATCAGCTATTATGAATGTGTTCAAGGACTAAGGTAAAATATATAATGACTTAGCATATAGGGATCTCAACAGAGAAAAGGTAGAAATTAAATTCTAGGACTGTACACTAGCTAAGATGAAAATTAGTTGGATAGCCTTAACAGCAGATTGGATATGACATTAGAAGAAGGATTTGGAGAGCTTTAAGATAAATCAATAGAAATTATGTAATCTGAAGAATAGAAAGAATGTAGAGCAATAAAAATGATTAGAATTAGCCAGGTATGGTAGCACACTTATGAAATTCCAGCAACTTGGAAGGCTGAGGCAGGAGGATTGCCAAGTTCAATGCTAGCCTTAGCAACCTGATGAGCCAGATCTGGAGACATAGCTCAATTGTAGAGTGCCCCTGGGTTCAATCTCTAGGACTAAAAAGAAAAAGGAAAAAAAAATGATGAAAACCTTAAAAACCAAGACAATAACAGTAGTCTAACATAGTAGTAAATGTGATACCAAATAGAAAAAAAAAATTTTTTAGTTGTAGTTGGACACAATACCTTTATTTTATTTATTTTTATGTGGTACTGAGGATGGAACCCAGTGCCCTGCATGTGCCAGGTGAGCGCTCTAACGCTAAGCCACAACCCCAACCCCTAGACCTTTTTTTTTTTTTTTTTTGTACTGGGGATTGAACCCAGGGCCACTTAACCACTGAGCTACATCCTCAGCCCTCTTTATATTTTATTTAGAGACAGGGTTTTGCTGAGTGACTTTGTGCCTTCCTAAGTCTCTGAGGCTGTCTTTGAACTTGTTATCCTCCTGCCTTAGCCTCCCAGTTCACTGGGGTTACAGGTGTATGCCAACTCTCCTGGTTCCAGTTAGTAGTTTTAGATCTTTTTTTTTCTTTTTTTTTTTTTTTTAAAATTTTACCTCTTTAAAGAGAATGTTTTCATATTTAGTTTTAAGAGCACTTTCTTTTCATGCAGCATATTTTTTCTAATTCAGACACTTAATATGTACATAAGCTTTAATAAATTGGTCTAAAGTTTTATTTTCATTCTCGGGCTCTGTAATTTTTTATGTTCTTAACACACATGCTGTCTCTTAAGTAGAAATCATGAAAACAAAGGATTAAGCTGAAATAACATGGTTGTCATTATCTGGAATCTAGAAATGAAAGAATTAGGTTATTGAATATAAACCCTTATACACACTTCCATCAAATTACCCTTCACTTTTTATATCTACTTTTATTTCTCTTATTCTGAGGCTGCAGAGCTGTCAAATTATATGGTGTATACTAGTCTAGTGCACTAAGCTATGACTATAGGTTTTTGGTATATCTTTTCATCTTCCTAGCTTTCTAGTAGTTAGATCCTGTACTTAAAAGGAAATACTCAATATGGACTGCATTTTTTTTTTTTTTTAATTTCTGGTACTGAGGTTGAACCCAGGGTTTTATGCATACTAGGCAAGCGCTCTACTCCTGAGCTATATCCACATCCCTTTTTACTTTATTTTGAAACAGGGTCTCATTAAGTTATCTAGGCTGGCCTTGAACTTGTGATCCTCCTGCCTTGGCCTCCTGAGTAACTGGAATTATTAAATGTAAACCATAGTGCCTTGCTGTAGATCACATTGTACCCACTTGGAAATCCCATTTACTCCTGATATGCTCTTCAGAAGTAGATGTCCATCATTTGTAATAGGGGAACAGAGTAAGATGTGATGGTTATTTGTAGTGATGTGAGATTGACTATAAGCATGCATCACTTATGGCGAGTTAAGGTCCCTGTTTTGGCTTTATAAATTCTCTTCATTTCTTTACCTCGTAGATGGAGATATTATCTATTTTGAGGCCATGAAGGAGTCAGATGAAATGTTGCATATGTAGTACTTTGCATAAAGTTTTGTACAAAGTTGTTCAGGAACTTTGGCGTTTAATATTTAGATCATCACTTAAATACATACAGATACATACACATACACATAAACTGATTTTTCTAGTAGTTAAAGCTATTGAAGATCAATTATAACTCTAAATATGAACTAAAAGAAAAAATTCCCTAGTCTTTGGAAACTACAAATCACTGAAGTACTTTTTTGCAGGGCTATTGGCAACTGCAATAAAAAAGGAGACATTTTAGAAGATCTGGTTTAGTTTATTTTGCCAGGGATTAACATAGTTCCTATGACATGTTAAAGACTGGCCTTGATATATCCATTCCACAGTGAACGACAGAGATAAAGTGAAGGGAATAATTAATTAATGTGTTGCAATTTGAATCACAAAGTAGTTCTACATCTAATTTTTGTAAAAAAAAAAAAAGTATAAGTTGAATTAAAAGAATTATTTTTCCTATTTTTGAAAGGAATAATTTCCAGTAAATTTCCATACACATTAAGAATGATTCTCAGAGTTCCTTTTATAAGCTATGAATCTCTTATTTGGCATAGATATAACTCCTGATATATTTTAATAATATCTGTATCAGTTTGAGTCTATCTGTTCAAAAATATATATGTTTTTCTTCATTAAAAAGACTAATAAGACTATTATCTTGTAGGTTCAGGATAAATTTCGTCTAGACCTGTCAGATGAAGAGGCGGTGCATTACATGCAGAGTTTGATTGATGAAAGCGTCCATGCTCTGTTTGCTGCAGTGGTAGAACAAATTCACAAGTTTGCCCAGGTAAGTTCTCTGAGGGCAGTGTATTTGTCTCCCTCAAGAGTCTTTGGAGAGCCTTACTTTTTGCCTCCCGATTGACATCTTCTCTGTTGTTTTGTCAAGCCTCAATGGCATCTTGCCATCCAGTTGAAGCGACTATATTCCATGCATTATCAACTTCAAATCATTTATTTTTCTTAGCATGGACTAAATTGGGGGGCACCTACATAGATACCATTTCTTGAGAATGATTTTGGGTACGGTAGAAGCTTTGGCAAATGAGACTTAGGTATTTGTTGAGTTTTTTGAGGGGAGAAGTGGTGAGGTTATTAGGGATTGAACTCAGGGGCAGTTGACTACTGAGCCACATCCCCAGCCCTATTTTGTATTTTATTTAGAGACAGGGTATCACTGAGTTGCTTAGTGCCTTGCTTTTGCTGAGGCTGGCTTTGAACTAGCTATCCTCCTGCCTCAGCCTCTCAAGCCTCTGGGATTACAGGCCTGTGCCACCGTGCTCAGCCTCTGTTGGATTTTGATAAACATTGAAATACTAATTAAAGAGTTTAGAATCCATGGAAAGCAATCCACATCACACACCATAAAGGTCTCGCAATACTTAACTGTTAGCAATATGTGAATATATGTATATAAATATGAAAGGGAAGATCTTTAAATAGTAGCCTGTTGTGATGATATTCAGATTTAATGTCTGCCTTATTTATGAATTTCATAATGCAGATGATCTGAAAATGGTTAACAAAATAGAAAAATTAGACTGCTTTCCTTGTGAATGCCTTCCTGACTTCATACATTCACTAAATAATGTTCCTAATCACCCAAGCTTAAAACCTGTCTATGATATCACCACCAGTCAGTGTCTAATAGATTTGTCATCTCTTTTGCTTTTTTTTTTTTTTTGCTACCTGGGCTTAAATCCAGGTTCACTTAATCACTGAGCCATGTCTCCAACCTTTTTTTTACTTCTTTGAATTTTGAGACAGTTGCTTTGGGCCTTGCTAAGATACTGAGGTTGGCCTCAAACTTGCATTTCTCCTGCCTCAATCTCCCTAGCCACTAGAGGTACAGGCATGTGCCACCATTTCTGGTGATTCAAGTCTTTTTGAGCTTTCCTATGTTTATTCTTTTCTTTTGGTGGGAGGTATTGAACCTCAGAGGCACTCAACCACTGAGCCCCATCCCCAGCTCTATTTTGTATTTTTATTTAGAGACAGGATCTCATTGAGTTGCTTAGCACCTCACCATTGCTGAGGCTGGCTTCAAACTCATGTTCTTCCTATCTCAACCGCCTGAGCTGCTGGGATTATAGACACGCGCCATCATGCCCAACTTTTATGTTTATTCTTAAAAATATTCCAGTCAGATACATTTTGACGAAATGATATTTCACTTTGCTTTTTAAAATTTAAATATGCTTAGTATTTTCCCCATTTCCTGATAGTGAAGTCCAATCTTTAGCAGTTCAAAACCTTCCAGAATGCTGTGTTCTGAGCTACTTTCCCAATTCTTTTTCTCTATCTTGTTTTATTTCACCTTACTAGTCACTTTGCTACTGCTATTTCGTTAGCTCGGAATGTCTATCATCTTAATAATGCATCTGCTATAAGCTTCTGCCCACCAAAATTCAACCTACCCTCCAAAAGCTATTTATTTTAATGCCACTCTGATTCATCTTTCTCTGAATTTTCCTAGTACTTTTTATCTCAAGAGTTGTACTTGTGTTTTGCTTTCTATATTTGGATTGCCTTTTAACTCCTAAAATGCAAAATTCATGAAGGCTGATCTTCTGTCAGTCACATAGTAGTACATGCTTTGTATACTCGAAAAATATCAAATGAACATAAAGGAATTTCTTCTTCTAAATGTTAGCTTATCCTAACACCTATTTGGACTACATTTTTATTACAAGTGTTGCACTTCTGTTTTATTCTAACCAATCATTTATTGAGATTAAAACACAACTCGGATAGTAGTAGTGAAGTGACTTAAGTCAACCATTTAACCAGTTGTGGATATGAATCTACATATAGCATGATAGAGTTCGCCAGTAGCAGATTATCAGTCTCTATCTAGCATAGCAGAGTATGTTAGAGTTATATTGGAAAAAGCCCAGAAGGGTGCAGTGGCTTATCCAATATCAAGTGCCTAACAAGGGGCAGAACTAAAACTGATTCCCTCATCCAGGTTTTGTTGTTTGTGATGCAGGAGATTGAATCCAGGGGCACTTGACCACTGAGGTATATCCCCAGACCATTTTAAAAATTTTTATTTTGAGATAGGATGTTGCTAAGTTGCTGAGGGTCTTACTGAATTGCTGAGGCTGTCCTTGAAATTTTAATCTTCCTGCATCAGGCTTCTGCCTCACTGGGATTACAGTAGTGTGCCATCATGTCTGGCATTATTTAGCATTTTTTAAATCAGTTCTCTTAATTTTTAGTATCTTGCTGACCATTCTATACTATATTATGTGTTAGTAAGTCCCAGCCCACATGATCCTGTTAATTCTGTTTCTTTATATAAACATTTTATTTTTCTTCTTTTCAGCTCAGCTAGTTAACACCATGGTTGAGGTCAGAAATTTTGAACTTCTCCGTTTTTGGATGTTCATAGCAAGCCTTTCACAGGTGTTCATTTCTCTTTAATCTTGCTTCATCCCTGAGTACAACAGTACAAAGTTCTCTTTATGGGTTTTCCTCATGCCATACTTTCAGATTCTAGTTTTTCTCCTTTATTTATATCACAACGTATAATAGAGCTCAAGCTTCACATTTGAAATTACTGGTGTTGCCTAGTACTTCATTTCAGTTTTCTATAGCTACATAACCAACTTCAAACTCATTAGCTTAAAAAACAATAGTGATTTCTAATTTCTTAGAATTATTTAGTCAGGAATTCAATCAGACCTCAGCTATGCAGTTCTTTTGCTGTGATGTCAGATGGATTCAGTCTTTCACCTATATTCAACTGGTGGTTGAATTTGTCTGGAAGGTACAATTTCAATTACATATCTGGCAGCTTGGTGCTCTTCCACATGGGATGGTCTCCTTCCACTTTTTCTCTTACCTTTTAGTAGTCTAGCCCAAGCAGCTGCTCTGTAGCACACTGACTGGCTTCCCCAAGAGTATAGGAAAGCAAAAGTGGTAGGCCTCTTAAAATGAGTCATAAGCATACTCCGGATTCATAGGGAGAAGAAATAGTTTTAACTTCTTGATGGGAGAAGAGGATAGCATATGCAGAGAGAGAAGGAATTAAGTGTGGTATCTTTAATTCAAAATGCCACATTTTGGTACTTTGAATTAAGTGTGGCATTTTAACATGCCTTGCCTTGAGTTTGAGTCTTCAAGTTCTGTTAAATTTGTTACATACTTTATTTTAGTGGTTTGGTTTTTAAATTTTATTGTTAATTTTATAGAAGATATCTATTTTGCTATCTGGATTTAAGAATAAAAGGGCCATTGTTCTTCATTCTCTGTATTAAAGATAGAGAAGATAAAGAGCCTGATTTAAAAAAAAAAGAAAAAGAAAGAAAGAAAGAAAGATAAAGAGGGCTGGCTGTACTGTTACTTGGAGGAGGAATAATAGAGGGATCTTGGTTTGCCTATGTCTCTGGGCCTCAACCATATAAATGTGTTTTAGTCACCATATTATAGATCAGAAGACTCTATCAAATAAAAAGTTGTTTCTTATCACATTCAGGTCTTCTTTACTAGAATTCCATATTCTTAGAGATGAGTTTTAAAATGCTCATACTGTTGTTTAGACTTTCTTGTGCCAATACTATTTTACAACTGAAATAATATTAAAATAAATAAGAATAACCTAAGTATATTTGTATCATTGGAATTTGCTTAAGCTTAAAAGTCTATGTGGGATAGTAGGTTAAGGTCTTAGCTTCATACAAGTCTTTTTAAATTACAAAATAATAGGGGCACAACTCTCTCATCTAATTTCAAGAGAAGTTTATTTTCTCTTTAAAACACACATACACACACACACACAATGTTTAAGTATTAATAAATTACATGCACATTCAAATTCTTGTGTCCAACATCTAGGTTTTGTCATAGTATTTATAATAATAATGCAAAATTGCTAATTGATTTGTAAAATTTTTGTGCATTTCCGTTCATTGTTATGGATTATAAATCTGAAAGTTTTAAAAATGAGGATAGGTTGATATATGTTAACAAAAGCTATAGTTATTTTAGCATAAAAGAAATTATATGCCAAAAGAAGAATAAAAATTGCCTGATACTACTATTATTTGAAATGCTGAAAAGGCTTATTTTCTTCCATCATGCAATTTCTTAGGAAGTATAGAGATTAAACACTGTAATATTCGTTGCCTAGCAACACCCATCTATTAGTGGTATAAATTTTAAACAAAAAAACACTTATTTGGGTCATTGTCTTTGAAATTACATTATCAGAACTTCACTCTTTTAAATTTTTTTAAAATTTTTGTTTTGTATATGACAGTGGAATGAATTACAATTCTTTTTACACATATAGAGCACAATTTTTCATACCTCTGGTTGTATATAAAGTATATTCACACCAATTCGTGTCTTCATATATGACTTTGGATAATAATGATCATCATATTCCACCATCATTTATAACCCCATGCCCCTTCCCTTCCTCTCCTACCCCTCTGTCCTATCTAGAGTTCCTCTATTCCTCCTATGCTCCCTCTCCCTATCCCACTGTGAATCAGCCTCCTTATATCAGAGGAAACATTGAACATTTGGTTATTTGGGATTAGCTAACTTCACTTAGCTAATCTTCTAATCTTAGTTTATCTTCTCTAACTCCATCCATTTACCTGCAAATGCCAGAACTTCACTCTTTAAATGAAATGGTCTTTAAAGGGCCTTATAGTCTTGCCTGCACTGGAAAGGTAGAGGTTACATAGTTTGTGTCACTTAAAGCAATAAAATAGGTTTTTCAGTGGCAGTCTCTCACATTCCAGTGTGTTTCTTCCATTTCTGCTTTTCCCTGTTTCGTCACTGACTGATAGTGAGCCTAGGCTGTGGTTTCCATTTATCTTAATACACCTTGAATCTAACTAATTGAATCTGTACAGATTAGAGCTAGAGATACTTTTTTTTTTTTTTTTTTGGTAAACTAACTAAAGCAGTAAGAACAGATTGAGTTCAGAAAGTTTACCTAATTTCCAAATCAACGTAGTAGAAACACATCACTGCCATCCATTTAACAAGAAGTTTTACTTCCACCTATGGTGTTAAAGGGGGGAAAGCACAGGATGGAGCAACCAAGGACACATTAATTAACAACTTTATAACTCCCTGTAGGGAGAGGCAATTCCTGGGACAGGTTACCTTAGCAACAGTTTTGTTTTGTTTTTTGGGGAGTGTGTTCTTAGGGAGGAGGAAGGGCTCTGAAGGAATTAACATTTCAGTCCCTCAGTGGGTAGTCTCCAGCTTTCTGGACTCGCTCAAAGCATGTCTTTAAATTGATCAACCTGACTCAATCTACCTATCTCCTAACTGCCTAATTCTGGCTTCAGTACAGATCTGTTTTGTACCATCTCATGTCTCATATCTGTTTCTAATTTATTTGGTTTATCTTAGGAGGAATTAAAAATAATAATAACAACTAAGAAACAATAATAGTCAAAATATCAGTAGCCTGTTGAACATTTAAATGTGCTGGGAAATAGATAAAGTGTATTCTCTGTATTTAATCCCCACTCTTTTAAAGTAGGTTCATCACCAGAACTGTTTTACAGGTGAGAAAAACGAAGCAAAAAGGTGACAGTTTCCTGGTTCAAACCCAAACCTGTGATATTGAAAATATATGTTAGTCACTAAGTAATGTTTTTCTTGATAATACATCTAAGCTTTAATTTGTTATACATGAATAGATTTTATTGTTAATATTGTGTTTTAAAAACATGCTTGTAAATTTTAATGTTTTTTTTCTTTTCTTTCCTTAATCATTCATCTTTTTATCAAAATGGAAAAAAATGGAATGCTCTAATAGCCAAGAAAATATAATATAATAAACAGTGGAGTCACCAGTACCAGTTAATCTGAGATAAATGATAAAATGGTATAACGTTTATTTTTCACATTGGCCACAAACAGTCTTGAATTTCACTGACCCCATGTCCCATCTTTGATCTGTAGTCCGCACTGCTGCATAGTACCCATTCATCACATGACAAGTGTTAAAGCCATCCAAGTGGTTAATTATTGTAATAGAAGCAGCAGATATTAGAGTGCTTAATAATTTTCATCTAACATGTGCTGAAGTTTATTTTTTATGCAAACAAATTTAGTTTCCTTATCTTCTCTAAGGAAGACTTAAAACACTTAAGACACGCCCTTGTTTGCTTCATTAACTATTTCTAGCAAAGTTGTTTTATAGTCATTGTTTTTTTTTTAACCCCTGACTTTTATGTATGTTAAATACTTAAATAAAAATTATTCAAATGAAGATGGAGTTGAATATTTGGATCCAGCTCTGCTACATAGTATTACTAATTCTTTTCCATGGATACAGATATTTTAATATATTGTAGAAAAACATTAGAGGCCATCTGTTCAGTATCATTCTTTCCCCTCACACATAAAAACGTACATATACACATATGCAGTTTTTATTTGCTTCCCAAGTGCTTCCAGCTTAGACTTCTAGCTTGTCAGTGTAGATATTTTCACTTTGGCTTTTACCTGCATTTTCAACCTTTATCATTGTCTAACAGCCTTCAGAAAGAACCTTTGTAGCTCTGATTATCTGCCTGTTTGTAGCTCTGATTATCTTCCTTAGACCTGATAACCCTGCAGCCCCCACCAGCATTGTACTCTTTGTGCTTTTCCAGAATGTGTTGCCCACCCATTTGCCCTACTTTTGAGTGCGTGTACATATTTTATGGTTCTTTCTGTGTATACAGATTTGATCTTCATGATTTAGTCTGAAGCATCTTAGGTGTCTTCCACAGAACCTAAACCAGTTCCTGGCACATATAGGTACCAAATAAATGTATATGGTTTTATACTCCCATATTGCTTTTAGTGAAAATACTTAAGTTGCTTTTGAAATTACAAATGACAGTTGTAAAAGTAAATCTTGCCATATTCTTTCTAGAATTGCTACTATAAATTGTACGAGATTGAAATCAGTCAACATCTTTGTATTTTTCACATTTTTACACATGCACGGGTATGTGTACACATACATGTCAGTGAGATTTTTCTCCCCCTTCACTTTTTTTTTTTTTTTTTGAGCAGAATAATGAGGTACAGTTCATAGACACAACAAAAGGGTGCATGGGGTGTGAATCACTGTTTCTTCACTCAGACCAAGAAATCTTTGTTTCTTTGCTTTCTACTTGATATCCTAATATTGAACATATTGCCATATTTACCCCAAATCAACTGTTCACTTGGCTGCTTTTCTTCTTTCAGAACTACTTCCTTTGGTTTGGCTTCCAGATAATTTGTGGAATGAAGTGGCTGAACTCTGTAATAAGCTACAGGTTGTTAGAGCCTGTCTAAATTATGTGGCATCAAGAAGTAAGGACACTAGTTATAGTATAAATCATCTGATCACCACACAATCCAGTTTTTTCTCATATTTCTCATATAGTAATTGGGTCATCTTGAGCTTACAGTCAGCAAACAGCTCCTCCCTCAAGTATTTAAGTTAAGCCTCAGGAACCCTGTACACTGTGGTAAATTAAAATCCTCTGTAAAAGCTTTTAGCAAAGTAAATTATTCACTTTTTATATTAATAGAAATATTTTTGTAAGTATAGACTTCTGTTTATCTTCATGAACAGTGAATAAATTATTTTCAATTTGTTTGTTTTTAATTTTTGTAGTATTGGAGAAAATGAAACTGAGTTTGCCCTATGAAGATGTATGACTCAGTAAGAAAACCACATTAGAAGCATCCCGTATATAATGAAGACTTCAGAATAACACAAAATGAAGAGAGCGCTTCCTAAATGTTACTCAATGCCTGAATTCCGTTTCCTTGAATGTCACTGCTTAAATATGATCTTAAAGAACTTGTTAAAATATTGTATATATTTTTTTCTAATATGTGCTTGTTAATAAGAAGTGAGGACCTTATTCCAGAATTATGTACATAATTTGAGAAATTTCATGTTGAAATAGTAAAAAACATTTTAACCTATAAGTTTAAAATGTCATTTTTTTTCTCATATTTTGCACTAGGACAGAGTTATATGAATTAGGATTAATTTCTGTTTTTAGAAGTTGTTTATTTTTTCTTCTTTCTCCTTTTCTCTCTCTTTTATTTACCTCTCCTGTTCTACCATTTCTGTTTATTTGGTTTTCTATAATTTGCATAAAGTTTTATTTAAAAAAATTAAAAGTTTTACACATTATAGCTCATTCTTTACCCTTGAAGAACCGATTGTAGAAAACCTCTATTTTCAAGGGTGGAGGGGGTGGGATCCCACCAACTCCCAGTGGTGCTGGTAATGTGTGGGTTCAAGCATCGGCCCTGTGTTCTTCATCCCCTGTCCCTGCTCACCATTGCTGTAGGCAGTACAAGAAGCTATGGAAGGCCACCAAGCTGTGTACAAGGATAAGCTGAGGAGCCATTTCAGTTCCTGGGGAACGTTGCTGAAGCCTATAGATGGGACAGTTAGAGGTGTGGGAAAAAGAAATTTATACTTCAAAGTGGTACTCATTTTCTCTATTTATAAATGTTGTGTTTTGGGGAGCCATGTTGTCTTTTGTTTCATTTTTAGATACAGCTCACAGTTCTAAGTTGTAATTATGTAAAGTAGAATGTGGAAGTATAGTTATCTGTAACTGGACAGAAGGTAATATGATGCAGATTTTCATATTGAGAATAAGAGATTTTTACACACTCATGTAAGACAGTGTGATCTTTCTGCAATAAATTCTTTTTTGATGCAAGCTGAATTTTCAAAGGTTTTTAAGACAGCTCACCTAGACTTGTTAATGTAATGCATCCTAACATTACACAAATTATCTGAGCAACATAATGTTTTCATATAGAAGTTACATAGTCATACATCTTTGTCTTGGAAGAAAAAGAATATTTCGTTTTTTTTTTTTTTTTGGTGCTGAATAAATATTAAAGTATCAAATGGCAAGAAAGATGAAGGTTAAATTATAGAATAGTTTCTGAAAATTGCATTAATTATAATATTTATTTGTCACAAAATTCTTGAGCTTGCCTCTTTAGAATGAGGTTACCAGCTGGAAAGCAGGCATATAATTAAGAGACATCCTACAGGTGTATGGAATATGATTTGTTCATAACGTACATGCATATTTAAAAAAATGGTAAAAGACAAAAAGCCTTTTATACATCTTAAAATGAGTTTATACTTAAACTAATTGGTAAGTTCCATCCTCTCCTTTGTTTCTGTTCTTCACATATTTATATATATTATTTTGGCCTGGAAGCTTTTACACCTACCACATACTTGTTCTTCTGGTCTCTCTTCTACTGGGACCTCCTCCAAAAGTTTTCTCCTAATAGCCCTGTTGAAAAAGATCTCTACTTCTGGACTTCTGAAATTTTTGTTTTTAATTGCTATTTAGTAAAGTTGGACATTATTGTTATACTTGCATCTTCTATTTCAGGGAATTGCAGACTTTTCTTTAAAGGGACAACATGGTAAATATCTTCCTCTTTGAGAAGCACATGATCTCTTGATCTCAGTAGGAACAGTTCATCTCTGCTGTTATAATATAATGGAAATGCAGCTACAGAAGCATATAAACAATGAGGCATGGCCAGAATGAATCTGGCCATTATTTGCAGACCCTGTTTTATTTAATTCATTGCTAGGCAAAATTGTATCATTTTATTGATTTAAACTCCATAACACAGCGTAGATACTAGGTGGTATGTCCCCAATAGGGCTCAGTAAGTAAATTTTGCATTAATACGAAATTCAGAATCTAAACACTGAAAACAAGTAAGGAAGATTGATCACGAGTAACCTTTTTTTTTTTTTTTCATGCAAACTTAAAAAGAAAAATAAGCATTGTGGCCTCCACATCCCTCAGAAGGGAAGAGTAGGAACCTTGCAGTAATCAAGGTTCTCTAGAATTTTAATTCTTATCAGACAGATGTTGCCAGGGTCCTCACCTCTGCGGGTAGGAAGTGTTTCTTGCCTAGGTTTTAGTTCTGCTCCCTGGGAGTAATCCCCCAGTCCATATTGTTTTAAGCAATAAAAATATGGATTGATGAGTCAGTTTTTTTGTTTTGTTTTGTTTTGTTTTTTCTGATGTGGGCTTACCATCTTTAGCCAAAACATTCTCAGCAAAACTGTAGCCACTGTCTTTTATGGAGATGCTTCTTTCTTACTTAACACCTTTTTGACTGGAAAGCTGTATTCTCCCTTAGATTCTTGATTAAAGATCCCCTTTAAATCGAAAGATCTAGGTTTGTTGTTTTTTTTTTAAAAAAAAAACTATTTCATTTATAATACTGCAGCTCTACTTCTTGGTATTTAGTCAAGAAGAAAAATGAAAACATGTCCACATGAAAGATTTAACATATAAATGTTCTTGGCATGATTCATGGTAGCCTCAAAAAGTGGGACAACTTAAAACCATCAATTGGTAAATGGCTAAAAATTAATGTGAAGATTAATCAAGTGTTATTTAGGAAAAGGGACCAAACATCTGATAGATACTATAACAATCTGGAAGAACCTCAAAAATATTGTATTAATATTTTAAAGACACACCAGACAAAAAAGACCACATATTGTTAAGTTGCTTTCTAAAATGGGAATCTTTCAAGGCAGGATACAAATCAGAGAATGCAAGTGGCTGAGGGTGGGAATGGAATAGACTGGAAAGGGGTATTAAGGGAACTTTAAAGGATTGGGGAATTTTTCTAAAAGTGGATTTGGGTAATGGTTGCACAATTCTACATTGGCTAAAAGTCATGGTGAATGTGTTGAATGTGTTTTAGAGCCAGTTTTTTTTAAAAAAAAAACTGACTTTCTATCCAGCCCGGAGCAGACAAATGTGGAGAACTGGTCGGGCTCTACCTCTGCATGGGCACATTCTGCAGGTCCCCTTACCCTGGCTGCAGCTTCAGTCTGGACTCTTCTGGGTCTTCACCTGCTTCCCCTGGCTATTTCCCTGCCCTCTCTGCCCTGACATCTTACATGCTTCCAGATTTTACAGCATTGCTAAACACAATGGTAAGGACCCACCTAGCCAAGCCCAGGAAGGAGAGGAATCTACCCTCCCGCAGCCACCAAGATCATAAATAGTTGACTAGTCCCAGGACTCAATAGCAAATCTAACTGCTAAGAGGAATCAGGATCTATAATGGAAGTGTGATGCATTATTTAAGCCTCAATATGAGATATAGAGTTAACAATTCAGAAACTTTGAGATTGCAAAATAGAGCAAAGAGCAGAAATATAACAGTCCAAACTTAAAAAAAAAAAAAAAAAAAGTCGGACATGATGGCACACGCTCATTATCGCAGCAATCTGGCTGGCAAGTTTGAGGCCATCCTGGGCAATTCAGTGAAACCCTGTCTCAAAATTTAAAAAAAGAATGGGTTGGATGTTGCTCAATGGTAGAGTTTCCCTGGGTTCGATCCCCAGGACCACAAACAAACAAGAAACTACTGGGTTTGAGTTGACTATTTTAAAGAATGTTTCCTTCATTCAGTGATAAAGAAGCATGTGAACTTGTTCTAAAATATTAGCAAGATGTTGAACTGAGTTTTTCAGATCTTGGCGAGCCCCTAAGTTCCACATTTGAGTTTAAGGTTGGGTCTGGTGAATGTTTTAACATGAAGTGCTAACAAAGACTTGAACAGGATTTAACCCAAATCCTGACGTTTCTCAAGGATTTGAAATTTAGAGGTGCATAGAATGTTAAGTAGGTTGGAAGGAAGGAAAGAGTATCAGGTGCAAAACCATTTAGAAGAAATGCAGTGTGTAAATGGAAAAATTCCAGGTGACTCAAGTAATGGCTGTGATTGGTTCTTTAATTTTTTTCAGTTCTGAAGTTCCTGCACAAAGATCCCTGAATAAAAAAGAAAAGGCTTTTCTTGCTGAGGACTTTAAAATAATTCAGATTATACATGAGGATATAATCACCAAATCAATATTTTAGGAATCTGATAATAAATATGAGAGAATACTTGATGAAGATGGGGAGGAGAACATGGCAAAAATTCTTAAAGAATATGAGAGATATCTGGCTAGAAGTACGTAAACTACAAGCGATAATGTATAACCTTGTTTTTAAAGGTTTAAAGCCAACAGCTTTTTAGAGGGTTGTGTGTGTGTGTGTGTGTGTGTGTGTGTGTTTTGGTGGAAATAGTTTCACAACATGCCAAGGAAGATCTTCCTTAGCTTTTAATTGTTTTGTTTTCTGTATGTGGTATGAAGAATGCTGTACATTCCATCAGGCATATTAGTTGGTTCCTATATATTTAGTTTGCATGATTTTTTTTATTTTTAGAGAGGAATTTTTATTATCATCATTCAATCATATTAATTATACAAATAAGTATAATTTCACAGTGGCATTTCCATGCACACATATATTATAGTTTGTATCCACCCTCTCTACTAACCTCTTGTCCTCTCTTCCCCCTTCCCTCTGACCCCTTTCCCTTTCCCTAACAGTCAGTGGAAGTATTTTTGACAAGTACCTTGGACTACAACTGCAAAGATTATTTGAACTTTTAACTGAGACATTTTCATATATATTTTGTTTGGGGTCATTTGAAGGTCTTTTCTGTTAGAGCTGGAAGTATCTTTATTCTGCTAAAGCAATGTAGTGATTTACTAAACTAAGGTAGTTTGCTTTTTTAATTTGCTTAATCGAATACTTGTACTTTTAATCGAATACTTGTCCACATTTGTGAATTTCCACTAAAGTGACAGTTAATGTTAACTTGGCTTTATTATGGTTTCTTAATGTGACAGTAATCTATAATTAAACTGTCATTGTGAGATATTTATTACTACAGTATTAATATAATATTCTCAAACATTTGTATAATATTATACTTTGTAAGGAGCCAAGTGCATTTTTATTAGGATATAACCCATCCTATATTTTATTGAATTTCATTTTTTAAATTTTCAAATAACATTCAGCAAGGTTTATTCATGTTCTTTTATTGCTCTGAAATGTCAAAACTAAAATGAAGAGATATTCATTTTTGTTAAAGATTGTGTTGTAGTAGTTCAATTAAATAGACAACTTCTAGCTTGTCAGACTAGGGATAAGAATAGCATATGTAATTAAATCTGAGAAATTTGCTGAAGTACTTTTTATTGTTCCACAAGCAATTGAGTAGCAATAGCATTTTACCTCCTTTATAGTCTCTTACCTAATAGAAACCCAAATAATAGTGAAATGATAAAAGAAAGAAAGAAAGAAAGTGATGGGGACACACAAACTAAACAGTTATCCATGCAAACCTTCATACTTAAATGTTTATAGCAGTGCTGTTTGCAATAACTAAAAAGTGGAAACAACCTAAATGTCCACTAACTGATGAATGCAGAAACACCTGTGGTATATAATACAATAGAAATTATTTGTTAATTAAAAAATGAAGTCCAGATATTTGAACTTTGGAAACATGCCAAGTGAAAGAAGGCACAAAAGACCATGTATTCTATGACACTGTGTATAAGCAATGTCCAGAGTAAGCAATTTATAGAGACAAAAATAGATTAGTAGTTGCCAAAGGATGGGGAGGAAGAGGGAATAGGAAGTGAGTGCTAGTGTGTATAGAATTTCCTTTTGGGTTTATGAAAATATTACAAAGTAAAATAATAGTAATGGTTATATCACTATTATCATATGTGAATCATATTTCAGTATAACGTTTATTTAAAAAATTGGTAAGGTAACCTAGGGAGAAAGGTACAGAAGGTACACAAGTC